CCAAAATTTTGTCAATTACGTACAATATTTTTTAGTCCCAACGTCGGTGATTGCGCTGTGCACTGACAAAATTTTCGTTTGTAATTCACTTTACTGTAAATGGCTGGCAAGCTTAAAAGTGAGAGTTTTGTTGTGCTGAGAAGAAAAAGAGACACCCATTTTAGATTTTTTATGTATTATTTAAGCATTTTCGACTTACGACCTGGATTTGGGTCCCTAACCTCGTCGTAAGTCGGGGAGCAACTGTAATATATGGTATTACAATAAAAACAGATATTGTACAACTGTACAGTCCCCCCAAAAAATATCATTGGATTTTCTGTCGTTACATTTTGAAACGCTCGATGAAATGCTTTGATATGATCCTCGATGCCTGCTGGCCATATCAGCAACAGCTAGAGACTGGGGTAACATTTGGGGAGGGAGTCATCCTTGTATGGCACACTAGATACTTAAATACAAATATAACAAGAAATCCATTAAACTATATTAATGTACTTGTGTATCGTTCAAAAACGTTAATAAGCTTTAATTTTCAACTCCTATTTCAACAAGCTTAAGAACTGTAGAAAGGGAGACCGAATTTCTCACCTAAGTTCCTAATGTCCACACACACTCGCTCATCATATACAGTACTATGGCGATGCCTTGAAAGTCTGTACACTATTGTATATCAATATTCATGCATGTTTAACCAGCATTTAGTGTGGTTAATTTTTCATTCATTGGCAAAGTTGTTGTAATGCATACAGTTTTCAAGACAGAAATTGCACGAGCTGTGTTTTGGGGCATTACTTACTGTATCTTTGGAAAGTGTTTTTTTTTTTTTTTTTTTTCAGATAAAACAGAATTAGCAGAAAACTGTGGCAATGGAATTCTATTATTATTATTATTATTATTTTTATTATTATTATTATTATCATCATTATTATTATTATTTGTTGTTATTTTTATTTGTACCATTATTTTTATTATTATTTTCTCTCTTAATTTTTATACTACTATTATTTTTATTGCTATTTTAATACAAACTTTTTTTAACAATGAATAGAGGAAGGAAATGATTTTTCTTGATAGTCCATACTGTATTTAATTAAGACACCTGTGAGTGCTGTCAATAGGAAACAAATTTCCAAACATTACTATGTGTGTGTGTGTTCTTGCCCTCTGGCTTTATACATCAGGGTACCCAAAAATATTTCACTTTTACATGATAATGAAAAGTAAGATGAAGCCTCCTCTACAGGTGGACCGGGAGGCTAACTGTCTATGGACTGATGGAAGAAGAAGCACAGAAGATTGGCAGGACCTCACCAATAATCTCAGGAGCTATGCTTTAAAACACACTGGGGAGAAGCCATTTTTATGTCCATTTTGCTCCTATAGAACAACAAGAAAAGCTCTCTTGGAGGAACATATAAATACACACACTGGGGATAGACCATTTTCCTGTCCATATTGTCAGTATAGTTCTTCCCACAAGAGCATTTTAAAGGCTCACGTCAGACGACACACCGGAGAGAAGCCTTACGCATGTACTTACTGTCCGTATCGTGCCACTCAAAAGTCTACCCTGAACAGTCATATGTTGACCCATAAGGGGAAGGATACCGTCTGAAGATGTTTAAGAAAGGGGGCGAGTGTATTATACAGCGAGGTGGTCAACAAAGGGAAGTGTCCTGAGTACTGACAGTGTGACAGTATATTATCTTGACTGTTTTGTATTGATTTGTATTTTTTTAGTTACTTATAAACCTTAGAAACTGTGGATTCCCAAAAGAGTATTGTTTGAGAGGATTCACAGTATGATGAATGTAAACTTTAAAATTCAAATCCACCGACTTCTCCAGTTTTGAACACATAGAGTGAGGCTACGATAAACATACTGTACATGAATAAATATACTGTATAGGGACAGCTTCAGTAGTGGATCTTTCACATCCTTCTTTGATTATGACTGCAGCTTACCTGTATTATCTCACTTCAGGAGTTGACCCAATGTGTGTGTATTTGTTTGTGGCTGAACTTTAGCAATCACAACTGAGGAGAATGCCAGTGGACATTAAAATTATTCTGTATATATATATATATATATATATATATATATATATATATATATATATATATATATATATATATATATATATATATATATATATATATATATATATATATATATATATATATATATATATATATATATATATATATATATATATATATATATATATATATATATATATATACTAACTTTTTGTAATGTTAATTTGAAAGCTAAAGTTTACCTCCTCATATTGAACTGTAAAGTATTGAGTGTTAGCAGATCATAAATTCTGATACATAAGGTATGAGAACAGTGTAGAAGAAATTTTAATTGGTACAGTATTACTGTATCTATCTATTTCTGGTAATCATCTCTAGTCTTCTTTCTCTCTCTTGTGTCGGGTGGATTACGGGGAAATGATATGAGAAAGTGATGGATGATAAATGTTTGGGAAGCAACAGGTTAGTTTTTATTATTATTATTATTAAGGAATGGACTAAGGTTTCAAGCAAATAAAAAGGTGGCAACTGAATGCTGGTACCGTACACATATTATTGAATTCTTCTCTGGTTTTTCTGAGAGAAATTTTGCCAGATACTGTACATCCGAGCCACCAAGTCCACGATATTTATTTTGACTCGTTTTGCTCCTATTTAAATGTTTCTCTTTGTAGAAAATAAAGGAATTTTAAGTTTTCCTCTGAAAGAATTGATTAGGGAAAGACTCACTGCATTTGAATGAAGCTACTCTACCTCTCCCCCAATTAATTCAGAAACTTACCCTACTCATTCTTCCATTCACAGTATTTTACTTTCTATCTAGGACCCTTTTTTTGTATTATTATTCACGGGTAGATTAGCTCCCCAGTGGTTTATGGAAGTGTCACGTTGCTCCATTGAGAAATATATGTCGGTCTCAAGTCTTCATAAACTGAGATAGTTCAAGAGAAATTGGTGGTGCTATAAATGAGTAGTACTGTAATGTAAATGGTCATTGGTGATAGGGTAAACCTTCTCCCATAAAGACTTTTGTTAAATCTTCTCCCATAAAAATTTTGTTAAATCTTCTCAAATAAAGACTTTTGTTAAATCTTCTCCTATAAAGTCTTTTGTTAAATATTCTCCTTTAAAGACTTTATTTTTTTTTCTGTATTATTTTTATTAGTAAACATAACTTCTTCTTGTGATCAGGTGTATCAGGATAGACTGAGTTACCTGAGGAAAGACTGAATTATTTGAGAGTAGGTTCTGAATTCCTAACTGAAGGGCAGCAACTTTCCCTTGATCACCCAAAGCCGAGGAACCTGTAGGGGCTGCTGGGCACAACCTCCTTCACCCGTACAAAACGTGATGTTACAAACTCGTGATAGAATGGAAAAAACAACAACAAAGCACAAGTTGGTGTTAAGATGGTGGTGGTATAAGGTATCGGTTCGTTGAGAGCAGACATCGATTGGAATGTAGTAATCGGTCCAACCAAATTCATTTTTTACCTCATTTTCTTGAATTACAGGACCGGGTACCTGTGTAATTGTGCATCATGTTATCCCGCCCCTCCCCCCCAATTTTATTTTTTACTTTTACAATATCATTTTTTTTCTGGTAAGTTTTATTTTCTCATGGGATGGCATAATTTTTTCCCCCTTTCCCCCTTTATTTTGTATATACTTTATTGTAGTTTTCCTCTTTTAGTTTGTTTCTTTCCAGCCTTTAGGGAAAAATTTAAAACATTCGTGAACTTGTGTTTGTAAATGATATAACTGCATTATGAAATGAATAAAAATACTTCCCGTCACAATATAATGTTGTTTTATTGTGTTGATGTGATTCCTTGTACAGTACATTATGGTGAAATAAATAATCCACAAGAAGTATTGGAAAGAAAACTACTGTATACTTTTTTTTTTTTTTTAGATATTTCTGAGAAGTTTCAAATATACAAGTATTGTTCTTTACGAGTTCATAGAGCAAAGCTATTGAGTTCTATTGACATAGTAATACATTGAAGGAGTAAAAAGGGGTAATAATAGCACTAGCAGTACTCCAATAGTAATAGGCCTAGTCATAGTAGTAGCAGTAGTAACAGAGGTATTAATAGTACAATAATGGAAAGAGAACTCCAGTGCAGGGTAAATCATAGCGACGATAATTTTTACCTGCAGCAAAAATAAGATAAAAAAATGGAAGCAATAACAAGAAATCACCTGAAGATTAGCCCTTTAAGCTTATCTCACCTTAAGATTTACCTTACCTTAATTACCTAATGACCACCCAAATGCTAACCTAACCTAACCCAGCCCAACTCCCTCCGGTAGCCTTAGGGTGTTTAATCATCACTTGAAAGAGGGGGGGGGAAGACTAATCACTCCCTATTTCTCACAAGAAGTTGACTGATCAATCACAATTAAATTTTCTGGAGGACTGGTTGTAGCGGCTCTGTACCAATATTCCAGGAACTTCTCCAAGGTGTCGGTTCTTGGGTATTTATATGATAGATTAAAAACTACATTAATCAAAGTTCTGTTGAAGGTCATAACCATGGTAAAGTTTTGTACTGTATATATGTATATAATTTATTCAAGACTGTAATGGGGTTATGCTGTTTGTGTTTGGTAAATTAGATCGTTTTAATACCGAGTTTGTTTTCAAATATTTATACTGTATATATATATATATATATATATATATATATATATATATATATATATATATATATATATATATATATATATATATATATATATATATATATATATATATATATATATATATATATATATATATATATATATATATATATATATATATATATATGCAATATGTCTTTTTATCTCATGGCTTGATTAGATGTAATGAAGCAGTTGGTTACCTTCAGCAGGATTTGATTTATAAAGAATATTGTTTCTGTCTTTTAAGCAGTACTGTACTATGAAAGTAAGACCAAGCCTCCTCTACAGGTGAACCAGGAGGCAATCTTTCAGTGGACCGATGAACGAAGAGCTACAGGAGAAGGACAGGTCCTCACCTATTCTAGCAAGGTGCATCAGTGTCCCCACTGTGCCTACAACACCATTTACTCTAATAAACTCAAGAGGCATTTGTTAAAGCATACTGGAGAGAAACCATTTACATGTTCACAGTGTTCGTACGGAACTACAAGAAAGGAATTATTGAAGGAACACATGACTAAACACACTGGAGAAAGGCCACACACATGTCCATATTGTCCTTACCGCTCATCTCGTAAAAACATATTAAAGGTTCACATTCGTCGACACTTGGGAGAGAAGCCTTATGCATGTACCTATTGCCCTTATCGTGCTGTCCAAAAATCCAATCTGAATAGTCACATGTTGACTCATTGGACGAATGATTAGGCTGTGCTGTACCTTAACCTTCATACAGTTCTGTATTCGAGGACCCACGACGAGACACCATAATATGTGAGAGGAATCAACTCCCCACATTAAGAATGACAACTGAGAGGTTTCTAAAAGTGGGAAAGGTTGTGTAATCAGCTCAGTGTAATAGAGTGCATTGTGTGTGTGTGTGTTATATATCAAGAAGCCTTTAAAGTAACATTTATTTGTGTGATTGGTTATTAGATTAAGGTAACTGGTTTGAGTGATTAGATAAAGGTAACTGGTTTCTGTGAACTGGTGTAATATTGAAGGTAAATATGACAAATGTTTTAAAATGTGAGGTTTAATATACAGTACACTATGATGGGATAATGTAAGGTTTAATGTACACTATGATGGGGTAATGTGAGGTTTAATATACACTGATAATGTAAGGTTTAATGTACACTATGATGCGTTAATGTGAGGTTTAATATACACTATGATGGGACAATGTGAAGTTTAATATACTCTGATAATGTAAGGTTTAATGTACACTATGATGGGGCAATGTGAGGCTTGATTTACTATGATTATGTAAGGTTTAATGTACACTATGATGCGATAATGTGAGGTTTAATGTATACTATGATGGGGTAATGTAAGGTTTAATGTGCACTATGATGGGGTAATGTAAGGTTTAATGTGCACTACTGTATGATCTGGTAATGTGAGGTTTAATATCGACTGATGGGATTCTGAAAGGTTATTCTTGGCATTAGATATGTTAAGAAGAAAGTACAAGTCAGATATCATATCACAGAAAGATAATTAAGATACATTCCTGGGTAAAGACCTATAAACACTAATGAAGAGAATTGAAATGGGTGTTTGGGAGTTGAATCTTAAGTATGAACGTAAATAAAAGCAAACTGGTTATCCGCAGTTGTTAATTCCTTGCTGTCGTGATCATATGTAGCTGTGTTTTAAGTCACCAGATGGCAGTTGATTTTTGTACTAAGTTTATACCGTGAAACCTCTATATAACAGACTATAAGGAGAGGAAAGTCCACTATATCGAGGATTTGTTATGTATGAATCCACCATCTAACGAATTATATAGAAGCGAAGGTCCGTTATATCGAGGGTCCGTTACATATATAAACCCCATCTAATGGATTATATGGAGAGAGAAGTTCGTTATATTGAGGTTTTACCGTTTTAAAAAGTATCTAATAATGCTAAAAAAGTAATAACAATCGACCCAGTCCATTGGTTGGGTTTAGCAGCATTTCGGTGTCTGCTCGGAAGTGTTAAAATTGCTTACGATATTGCAATAACATCCGGTCTGGTCTTGTAATCGCCTAAAGATGCGTTGTGCGCATAATTCATGACCACGAGCTCGAGGTGTGGGTCAGACGTTTCTGATATTTACCTGGTACTGTTTACAGACTTTGCGGCCCTTGTGATGGTGTCGTAGTTTTAGTTAATGATTATTTTTATTGTCATCATATTATTACCTCTAGTACTGTATTAATAATTTTCTTTGATGATTTCTATTTTAATTATTTTATTATTATTATTATTACCTGTGTTAATGTTATTTAAACCTTTATTATTATTATTATTATTATTATTATTATTTCTTCATTGAGAGTATCTGGCAGTCTTTCATTTATTAAGGTCAACTTTTAATACGTTTTATCCTTCATTACGCGCACACATTTGTGTTTCTCTGTGTGTGCTTCATTTATGTATCATTCAGAACTTCTCCAGATTAAGATTGTGCCTCTTTGTATTCATTCTGACTAAGTGAGATTATTTTTTACCTGACCTGAAATGCGAGAATATTTATATACAGTACAGTATATATATACATATATATATATAAATTTTTTTTTTTACTTTAGCTTCTGTGGACTGATAGTTTGTGTCCTTCATGAGATGTTTTGAAGTAATGCAACATTTAAGATGGTACATTACAGTACAGTACTGTATATGCTTTTGTTCAGTGACATTGTATAAAAAAAAGTACAGAAATATTTTACTCTTCTTTGAAAATCTTAAATATTTAGATACTTTACATTTGATTTTATCCAGTGGTTACTTGAACTGTTTGTCTCCTGTGCAGTAGTAAGTTTATTTTATTCTCTCACAAAGAAAAAATTGTTCAGGAATTAAACTGGCAAGAAGATTTATAACGAATCTTTAAACCTTAAAATAAAGAATAAGATGAAGCCTCCTCTACAGGTGGAGCGGGAGACTAACTGTCAGTGGACTGATGGGGGACGAACCTCGGAAGATTGGCAGGGGCTCACTACTGCCAGCAAGGTGCATCAGTGTCCCCACTGTGCCTACAGCACAACTTATATCCATACTCTGAGGAGGCATATTTTAAAGCATACAGGAGAGAAACCATTTTCTTGCCCACATTGTTCCTATAGCACTACCAGAAATGCTCTTCTGAAGGAGCACATCAATACTCACACAGGGAACAGACCATTTTCTTGCCCATACTGCCCTTATAACTCTTCCCATAAGAATATTTTAAAGAGGCACATACGCACACACACCGGGGAGAAGCCATATGTCTGTACCATGTGTCCTTTCCGTGCCTCTCATAAGACAAACTTGAATAGTCATTTACTAACACATATGGCAAAAGATCAAACCATGTAGCACCTTTAACACTAGCTTGTGTGTTAGAAGTGGTCAGCAGGTAAACATGAGTTAGCCACCTTACTAGCATTGCAGTAGCTTTTTTTACACCATTGCTTGTTGTCCCTGAGATCACACAAAGTTTTGAAGTATTTGTAAGTGTTAAGTCTGTTTAACATTCCATTGATAGGATTATGGTACTCCTATATAGTTCTCTTATTAGTACTCATGGTTCTCTTATTAGTACTCATATATATAGTAATCTTATCAGTACTGTACTCATACTGTACTGTATATGATTCTCTTATTAATACAGAGTACTCATTTATGGTTATGTTATTAGTACTCATATGGTTCTCTGTTTTAGTACTCATATAGTTCTCTTATTAGTACTCATGGTTCTCTTATTAGGTTTATATATTTTTGTATAAGTAAATGTGGGAAAGAAAGAAGACTTGTCGCTGATTCTCTCTCCCTCTCTTCCACTCCTCTGACAAAAGGTATACAGTAAATTCTTTTCTTTTTTAAACTTTTTTTTAATTGGATAAAACTTGGTTACCATTTTAAGTAATAAATATATTCAGTTTTTAATTAGATTTGCATACTTTGATTCATACTGATTCATACTATTGCAAGGATACTTAAATTATTTGGTTTTTATTTATTTATTTGGTCATTATTATTATTATAGGTTATGCTACAGGTTTTATTAATATTATTATTATTTAGATTTAGTATTGGTGTCTCGCACTATCAATAACGTACAGTGAGGCCTTTATATAGTGGACTCTCGATTTAATAGACTTTCATCTCTATGCAGTTCGTTAGATGGGAGTTTCATATCTAACGGACCCTCGATATAATGGACTTTCCTCTCTGTAGTCCGTTAAATAGAGGTTTCACTGTACTGTACCCCACACATAATCTCAATGATGTTCCTCTCATGTATAATGTCTCCAGAAGTGTGTAGTATCATCTCCATTGTTTATCTCTTTCTTTATTCATTACTTCCATCAACAGCTTTATACAGTTCAATTACTAAAGTCCATTCACCTCTTCCCCTGAACCACAAACCTAGAGATTCAGATTCATGAACCTGAAGTAGTGGACTGATCCATTATTCTGTCCATTAATGCATTGGGTTCATAAGTCTGAATCTCTGGGTTTGTGGTTCAGGGGAAGAGGTGAAGGGACTTTAGTACTGTAGTTGACTGTACCTCCTATCACTTCCTCATTACCTTATTTATTTATTCCTCTTATACTTCGTACCCCCAACTTTGAACTCAATCACATGGTGTAATACAACATCTCACACGCCCGTAAAAAAAATTATACAATTCTAACCTCTTATGAAAATGTGTATTGTAGTAGCAAATAAAATTCCCTTGGCACTTTTGTTATGTCTGATAATTACATACATTGCTTTTGTTTCATGTGAGTCTAAGGATTGGTATTTTAATCCAATAGAGAGTATTTTTATGTTGTTATTCTAATATTATTTATAATGACAAGTGGCATTCACCAGCTATATAGACCAATCACATAGACAGTCCACAAGTCGAGGGAATTTTGGCCACAACTATGCTTTCACCATATTGTTTTCTGTAGCTGAAGAACATACAATACCTGATATACTCTATAATGTGTGATCGACATAATTTGCCTAATATTCCACCATCCCCCCAAAAAATTCCTAAGAGAGAAAGTCTTTTATTCAAGCTTAATTTTTCACCCAACCACTTTAGTCTCTCTTATTACACACTTAATTATGCATTCCTGTTGAATACCTCACACCTATTAATTGGTCTCAGTTTTAAGTAGTCACTAATATTATTCATTATTCATATACAGTCGTAGTAATAGTATTGTCATTCCAAGCCTGTCATGAATTTTAACTCTGCCTGTTCTCAGCACTCAAGATTCTTATACGGTAGTTTGATTGGTGGTTTTTTATTGTACGCAGCGTTGTTTATATACAGAAGATAGAACTTTGAACTCTGCATTATCAAAAACATACATGTATATATGTTTGTTTTTTCCTTTTAAGGTTTGTTTTGAACTTTTGATGCTGTCGCTTTGGCTGCAGTTTGATTTTTTCTTATCATAAGGTAGATCTTTTAAAATGTAGAAAAGTGTAAGAATTGTTCCAAAATATATGGTTGAGCATTCTCTGTTGTATTATTTATAATTCATGTAGGGTGTTGCCTCTGGTATATTTACTGAATAAAGTTATAATCATCTTCCTGTTATTATGGTATCTTGTTAACTACAGGTGCTCCTCTACTTAAGAATGTTCAACTTAGAAACTTACAGAGATACAAACCTCATCACTAAGGGGGGTTACCTGCCAGAACAGGTGTTCAATGTGGATGAGACTGGATTATTTTGAAGAAAATTCCAGATAGAACAAACATTACCTAAGAGAAGAGTGAGCTAGGTTTTAAGGCTGTATTAAAGAGTATAGCTTTACTAAATATCCATAATCTTTTCATTTTTCACAATATGTTTGGTATCTACAAGAGTAAAGTTGGACTAACTAACAAGCCTCAGGAACGTAACTCGTTCGTAAGTAGAGGATCACCTGTATTGTAATCTTAGGTGTACAAGTTAAGGGGGGGTCCTATTTTCAGCCTATTCCTAATATCCATATTTTGTGTTGTAAAATATAATAGATATAAAAAGAAAATCAAGGAACAAATAAATTAAAAGCTAATTTACTCTGTGTGTGTTCCGACTCCACTTCTAAGTATGGTTGCTGTAGAGAAACTGAGAAGCGATTTTATTTATTTATTTTTTTTTTTCTGGTTGGAATTGTAGTTGTTGGAGGCCGTAGACAGTCATACCTACCAAGATAAGGCAATAGGTATTAAAATTGTAGATGCAGGAAAAATGTACATTGGTGTAGATATTTTACTGACCTTCACCTATGTAGATCTATGCAGTATTGAAACAATAGAATTAATACCTTGAAGGATTACTGTTATGAGGTTTTTTTTTTTACAATTTTATTATTATTCCAACAAGTATTATAGTTTAAGTATTATTATGATACTATCAGTAGTGTAGTGTATTATTATCATTGGTAGTAGTAGTAGTATTGTATATAGTAGGAGTACATCCATGGTAATTGATTGATAAATATTCATAACAGTTGTAATTGGTACTGCCATATACTACCTCTTATATATTTAATCTTACAGTCAGATCATTTTAGTAAGAGTCTGTTCTACTGTACACAAGTTCAAAAATCTCAGATGGATTAAGACAAAAATAGCAATTATTTAACCAACTGGACTCCTTAAAAATAGAACAAACTTGCAGGTGTTTACATGGATAGTACTGTATGTTTAGTACAGGTATTGTATTTGTTATTCCTGTTAATCTACAGCATTTAATCTGGTACAGTACTAATACAATTAAGAAACATAATTTACTATTTACAAATACTGCATTGCTATACAGTATACAGGTTATTGTTATACTGTATAATTACCATCAGCGTTTTAAGGTCTTTTTCCACACCATCTTGGGTTAGCCGTGTTTACCTGACAGCAGTTCCCCATACTGTGTTGTCCCTTGCAGCCTCTCTTGCCTGATTCATAAATCTCATGTTATTTCTTTCAACCACCCCCCATGTCATTCTTGGCCTACTCCTGGCTCTATATCCACAAGGTAGTAATAATCTGGGTATATATGGTAGACCACCAGCCCAAAGAAAATGTCCCGAATAAACTTAAGTAAGAAAATACTGTAACACTCTAGGAAACATCAAACTGTGAAAGTTTCACATTCTATGTAAAGTTCTTGATGTACATTAACTTGCAGTTTGTGCCTAAATACTATTAACAATATAAGGTTGGGGAGCTTTCCTTGTAAAAGTTTGCTACTACAAACTTTACTGAATACTATACTGTATAAAGCAGTACATTTATAACAACACCAACTGTATATTATAGTTAATCACTATTCAGTTGATAAGCAAAAAGCCACTATCTTCAATCAAATTTAATTTAATATTGTAGAAAAGTGTCTTGGACATACTGTACTGTACACTACTGTACTCTATCAAGGAAAGATTCAAAGGAGATATAATATTTTACTTGCAATGCACCGATAGAAATGCTGTTTTGATATAATTTATTCATTTACAATTATTGTGTTCAGTGCTTACCTCTGATACTGAAAAATATGATTTAAAGAGAATAAGATGACTGATTTTTTTATGTCTAATGTCATTAAAGCAAAAGATAACAATTGATTTACTATGTGTAATCTTATTAAAGCAAAAAGTAAGATGAAGCCTCCTCTACAGATGGAGCGGCAGGCTCAGACTGATGGCAGGAGAACAACAGGAGAATGGCAGGGCCTCAACACTAGCGGCATGATGCACGAGTGTCCTCACTGTGCCTACAGCACTGTTTATTTAAACCAACTATGGAAACATATTTCATCAATGCATACTGGGGCAAAGCCATACATATGTCCTTATTGTCCCTATAGAACTACAAGAAATACACTTCTGAAAGAACATATCAATACACACACGGGGGAGAGGCCATTTTCCTGTTCATACTGCCCATACAGTTCATCTCATAGGAATATCTTAAAGAGACATATACGCACACACACAGGAGAAAAGCCTTACACATGCACTATGTGTTCATATCGCGCTGCCAGTAAAACAAATTTGAATAGTCATCTGTTAACACATAAAAAGAAGGATCTTTGAGAATAACATCTTCGACTGGAGACGTACTGTACTGTAGATGTCCAGGAAAAATTACATTGCAGTGAACACAGTCAGATTTATAATACAGACTGGAGGAATTGATTAAGATACTTGTCTAATGTTCTCACTGCTTATGTCTCTACTGGTAACATTTGTTTCAGAATAAATAGAAACAAAAATCAGTATTCTAGAACAGTACTGTACAGTACATGGATGTTAGCCTGAGACTGCCTGTTGTGATGATTATTAAGTATTAAAATTAACAGAATTAAGACTAATATACTGAACAGTACACAGAAAATGTTTATGCATAGTAATTAGATGGTTCAAAATATCTGGCACCATCATGCAAATAAAACTATATTTGAGAGAAAATTTAAAAACCATTGGAATGCCCAAGAATGTGTCTGTCAGCATCAGTAGCGAATACTGTAGATACTGCATTTGGAAGTCACATAAATGAATGTACTCTCGGCATTTTCATTGGAAGGTTACCAAATTCCTGCTGTGTAATATTTCATGGATGTAGTACCTGTACAGTAAAAGTGGATGGTAGGGGAGAAATTATTGAGTGTACGTTATATAGTACTGTACAGTATCTCACATCATCTGGCACCCCTCGTGTGCTACCTTGTGTGTGTTTTATTATATGAGCGATTCATCCAGACACCACATCATACTGCTTCTCATTAGGGTAAAATATCATACTCAGCATTGCTCCACGTTTCTTATTTATTGTACTATATTGCCTCAAGTGTGTTGCCAGAAGTACTGCAAGTTTTTAATTCATTTCACTTTAAGTCATAAATACAGAAATGACAGTAACAAGTACTGTACAGTTTTTTGTGTCTCTTTATTTATGAACAAAAAGGTGGTGCCTTAGCTTTGACATAAGAATAAATAGATAAAAAAATGCAAAAAATAGAGCTGTAATCAACCTGCTTAAAAAAACATCTTGTACATGTACTGTGTTCTTAAATTAGTGTACCTTGGTGTGCTCATCATGCCGTATCATGAGTTGTCATCATTGCAGTTTATTTTTTATGTATTGTTTGTTTGTCATGTAAGGAAAGGAATTTCCAGTTAACATATTGCTTGATTAAAAAATTTCACCCCACAAAAATGTTTAACTTGTTTTCATTGAACTTCACTTTCTTTACAGTATTGGAAAATTTGGGGTTGGGATGTTTTCTTTGATGTTTTGTGCATATGTTGTGATAAATTAGTACAGTATAGAGTGGGAGTTTCGAAGGTTAGTTCCTGATTTTAATGTTCTGAACTCAGAGCAAACTCCCTCTTTTCCTATGGTATCGACCATTTTTTTTTTTATAAGTTTCCTCTCAAGGTTATTACCACAATGATAGCAGGAATAAGACAGCTCCTGTGAGTTATGGAAAAACATTTGATAATGTATGTGTTAATTGCTTAATCCAGTAAAGTTTAAGTGATTTTAATTAATGCTGTAGAGACTTAAGAAGCCAGATACTGTACCGACAAACAACCATAAGCTTGTTATTTAATCCTTCAATTCTCTAAACTCGTCAAACGGATGTCGACCTGCTTGCTGGTGGATGGCATAAATAGGACAATATATTATTATCATAATGAATGAGCTTCTTTAGAAATTACCCGGGAAAACAAGAAGTAAACTTAGGAAGCTCAATACAGTTTTGTTACCATTCTACTTTAAGGCAACTCATTGCACAGTCTCTGTAAGGCTGTGATGAAATACAGTGTTAATTTTTAAAAATTTTGAGATAAAAGTTCTGCATGGATATACTGTATGTGTATAATTCTTTTATTACTTTGAAATTATCTGACAGTAATAAACTGACAATTATTGTAATAACTAATACAACCCAAATATTTCACAAAGTAAGATGAAGCCTCCTCTACAGATGGAGCGGGAGACTAACTGTCAGTGGAGTGATGGTAGACCCTCGGGAGGAGATTGGCAGGGCTTCACCTCCACCAGCAAGGTGCATCAGTGTCCGCACTGTGCCTACAGCACCGCTCTTCTTCATAATCTAAAGAGACATATCTTGAAACACACTGGGGAGAAACCATTTGCATGTACTTATTGCTCTTATACAACAACAAGAAAGGAACTCCTGAATGAACATGTTAATTTGCATACTGGGGAGAAGCCATTTTCTTGCCCATATTGTTCATACAGTTCCTCCCATAAAAACATACTACGGAGACATATTCGTGTCCACACGGGGGAGAGACGATATACCTGCACTCACTGTACATTTCAGACTGACAATAAAGCAATCCTTGCCAGTCATTTTAGAAAGCATATTGCAAAAGATAATGCAGTGTAACGTCTGATGCAGCCGAAGAATGATTGGAATGGATTCAGTTGTTTTATTAGTTGGATGTTCTTAAGTGAAGTTCTTGTAACATAAAACTTAAAAACTCTCGCAGAAAAATTGA